ACCATAACGAACCCGGTACTGAAATATCATTAGCATTCGCAGTTGCAGATGTAGCACTACTATTATGAGCCCCACCAGCGCTCATTAGCATCGAATCGCCTTCAGAGAGATAACCACCGCCCTCGGCCCGATTCACGACGATGTGTCTACTCGAAATACCCCCCGTTCCACCACCAGCAGCAGCAACAGTACTACTGCAACATGCCGACGATACTGAATGCAGCGATTCTTCACTCGTCGAACTATCTGGTAGAGTATAACGATTTGTATCAAATTGAGTCGAATGACCACTTGCTAAAATATCATATCTTACGTAAAAATATTACAAAACAGTCACAAATGTAAAGAAATATTCAAAAGATTACAAAACAATCACAAATTCTTAAGCAAATTGCAACCTCGCTGCCTATACCTACCATCCAATCGATCCATAAATTAAAAAATACTACAATAATATACCTCGACAACTCCATATCAATGCAACATACACCAATAAAAATGGCACGATAGATCGATAATCATAAACATACTACTACGCAGTGGTGGTATATAAACATACATACTACACAATTGGAACGATACACATTTCAAAACCATCATCAAAACCGGCGCAACACCAAATAAACACCAAACACGAGAGCGACCCAAGCAACCGACCGCTCAACACCACCGAATCAAATCACAATGAATACTCAACGAGACACACCCTTAATATAGTTGCAAATTCGCGCCAAAAACAGAAAAAAAGAGACAAAAAATGATAGAACACGGCAGAATACGTCAGCATTTGATCTATAAATAATCGATTTTGATCACTGTTTTGATCATTTTGATCACTTTCAGCGATCAAATTGGCGCGTTTAAAAAAGTGAACTAAATCAATTTATCATATAATTTTCAATATGATAATAATATATATTATAAATATAATGAATATATCATTACATATTATTACTTTTTACTTTTTATTACTCGATTACTTTTAAACTATTACTTTTTACTTTATATATCACATATCATTACTCTATATAGTATTACTTTTTATACTATAAGTAAGCACTTAAACTATTACTCTTCACTCACTGATTACTTTACTTACTATTACTACTACTTACTACTACTCATTACTTACTATTACTTTTTACCTATTACTCTCCATACCTTCTTCTACAGTCAATCACACAACATTTGAGATAATAACTCAAAAAATAGGAAAATAATAAAGAATTGACCCCGTCTTCTGCAATTACCTATTATTATCTACTGGATTCAATCCAACTACCTCAATACCTCAAGCAGATGTCTTTCTCATGACCATTTTTCAAATAATTACGGCAAAAAGCTACCTCTCATATACCTTAAAGAGACAGCCAATGCAGAAAAAAAATGGCAGCAGCTCATAAAAAACACTCCAAACTCATTATAAACCCCATATGAATCACTCTCTCATACACAAAAAATGGTCCTGCCACGAAATAACACATAAATACTATATAATNNNNTTTGAGACGAATATAAAGCTGCAATAAATCAGCAATGACCTTTCGCAACGAAAACAAAACAAAACACAACGACTATTGCAGCACAAAAGCGAACGAACAACTATTGGCCTCGTTAATGAGTGGACATCACAACATAACAAAGGGATTACGCAATGCAACAAGATCGGCTAATTGACTAGTGATGAGATGGTCCTGCCACGAAATTGGTGGTAAGGGTCCTGCGACGAAATTGGTAATGGTCCTACCACGAAACACGACATCGTAATAGAATAGAACAACTCGTTAAACAATACCACAAAATACAAGCAAAAAACAACACAATACAATACATTAACATATACGATGAGCTAAACAGGCAATATATAGCTGCAATATTCTATAGCTGATCCAGAAACAGCTCTATATCGCATCTACAAAAACTAAAGTTAGGACCTAGCTGAGCCAAAGCTACCTCCCAGTCAATGCAAGAATAAGGATAAAGATAAGGATTAAGGACTAAAATCCGCTTTTTGCAGCTCAAAACCGTCATTACAGCAGCACAATATCAACAACACCACAACAACAACAACACAGTGAATAGTGTTCCGATGCCGTGCCCTTCCTGCCTGTTACAGCTTCATAATTTAATAATTGCGACCATTTAGCTGCAGCAGCCTCTTAATATTAATCGAATCGAATAACTGTTGCAGCTATATATCCACCGCAGCCATATATCTAATCCAATAAACTTAATCTAATCCAATCCCATAAACAATTCAGCCTAATAACTCAGCTCTTAATTAACACCTGTTCTGCTCTTTTATAACAATAACAATAACAATAACAATAAACAACAATAACGAAAATACACATAAAAACTGTGGAAACGTTGAGAGAGGCAGAGAACAAAACAAGAAATGCGCTCGAAATAGTTCGTCAAATTAGGAGAGTGCGAGAAAAAAAACAAAACAGTAGACAACACAATCCAATACAAATGAATTTTATTTATTCACTTCCCAACAAACAACAGAAAAAAAACCGTAACTTACACGGGTAGTTTCCCTGGGATGGTTTACCCGCATGAGTAAGTAGCATCGATGGATGTTGCTGTTGCTGTAGGTGAGCGGGTACGTTTACGGGTACGGGTACTTGCC